AAGCTGTCACAAAGCCCTGGGCCAAGAGGCGGCCAACGGACTGTCCCAGTGAGGTGGGGACGGGTGGTACAGAGAAGAGAGCCTGGGAGGGGGCCCGGCACTGGGTGCTATATGGGTGCTGCCTCCCACGGCAGCCCTGGGACAGGGCTCCACGCCACAGAGAGGTCGTGTCACTTTCCCAGACACACAGTCAGGGAGCAGCTGAGCCAGGATTGGACCAAGGCCTTCTGATTCCAGGGTCCCCCTCCCCAGAACAGTGGCTTTAAGCAAGGACAGAAAACCCCAGAGTGGGGGAGAGAGGGCTCCAGGGCCACTGTTTCCCACCTCGTAGGGAGGGGCGGGGGAGGGGCAAGCAGTGGGGACAGCAGAGCTTCTCTGGCTCTAAAGGGGCCTCCAGGAGTCACGGGGACCCACGGAAGGCGTTTGGCTCTGGGGAAACTCTCAGGTGACAAATTTTAAATATTGCACAATATTTTAAAAACTGTAACTGGCTCCTGAAACCAAGCAGTAGCAACTCCAGACATGTCCAAGGAGGCGCTCGGAAAAAATCACAACTAACCTACATGTCCAGCAGGAGGGGAACGGCTGAATGATGAGTCACTCCAAAACCAGCTTGTATCAGTAAAGAAACTAATCATGGTTGCTCTTTACGCAAAACCCTAGTTAGATTCTCTTGCCATGGAAAGGGAATGCTAAGTAAGAAAAGCAATTTTCAGAATAACCTGGATGACATGAAACCATTTGTCCACACACACACACACACACACACACACACACAGGAACATTACTCCTTTAGGTCATGCGTGTCAGTGCACAGAAAAAGATCTCGAGGATATACCCAAGTAATGACAATGAGGTTTCACTCCATGAGGTCATCTCGGTGTCGTGGTGGCCAAGGAAGGCTTTGTTAAAATTTGATTTTTTTATGTGTGGCAAAAACATACTTGTGTAGGGCTGGGGATGCGGCTCAGTAAGCAGAGTGCTGGCCTCACATGCAGCAGGCCCGGGTCCCCTTCGTGGCACAGCAGTAATAATGGTAAATACACACACACGGACACGTACGTGTCCATACACACACACACACACACACACACGTGCGTGCACTAGTTTCTTCTTTGGATAACTAAAACTTAGTGCAACAAGATTAAAGAGACCAGAGCTGCTGGGGAAGCCGATCTATATTGGAGTTGGGGATCAGAGAAATTCAGTCACTGCGGGGACAGGGACTCCGGGCCCTGCTGAGCCTCAGGAGTGTTGCTGGGGAGACAGGGGCGACCCTCATTCCAACCCATGGATAGGGGAGAAGGGGGGGCAGCACGAGGTCCCCCCGTGACTCAAAGGGAGTGTCTTGGGCCGTCAGAGGTGCCCAGGCAGCCACCCCCGTCCAGCCTCCCCAGGGACCCCAGCACCCCCCTGGTCCCTGGACGAATGCCCAGCTCCAGGGGTGCTCCTGGCCCGGGCCGCGTCTCCAGGGGGACTCTGCACAGAGGCAGGAACCAGGGAGGAGGCGGAAGAAAGGGGACAGGGACAGGGACAGGAAGTGCTCCCAGGCTGCCTCCCCGCAGTGGCCCAGCTGTGACAAGCCCAGACCCCGACTCAGGCAGAACCCGTGAGTCCCACAGACCTGACCCCAGTCGGGAACTGGCCCTGACCACGTCACGGGCAGAGGTCAGCGACGTCACTGCACCCAGACAGCTGCAGGGTCAGGAGTGAGCCCACCCCGCCCTGACTCCCTCGAGACCTTGCCAAGGTCACTGTGCTCACTGCCAACGGGCCTGGGGAGGCCCCTGCCCGCCCCGTGAGGACACAGCGAGCAACACCTGCGTGGCCTCCTGTGGACCGTGCCGCTGTCCCCGCACGACAGGCCCTGCCGTTCTTCGCACCCGGGGCACTGAGGCGAGGCGGCGGCAAGGGCGGAGCCCCACACTGGCCGCAGGTCCAGGGCCCAGGGCGGCCGGGAAGACCTGCTTCTGGCCGAGGCCGCAGGCCAAGGAACTCTCAGGCAGAGGAAGGGCCAGGGAGACGGGGTGAGCCCAAGGGCAGTGCAGACTTTCTTGGCCGCTGGCCTGGACCCAGGGCGGGCACTCAGGGAGGGCAAGGGAACCGCTGGCAGGTGCCACCAAAGAGTCTGATTTCTACCTGAAACTGGGGGAGGGGCCTCTGGAAGCCAGCCAGCCAGCCGGGATCTGGGGCAGGAGCAGGGCACAGAACTGGGAAGGCGCCGGAGGAGAGGAAGGACTCAGTCACCAGGAGCAGCAGAGACAGGCTGTGACAACAGCAAACCGTGGACGGTGCCCTTGAACTCTGGACACGGCCTCGGGGGATTCAATCAGATGTGTCCCTAAGAAGGGAGCCTGAGCCACACCCACAGGCTCATGGTGTCCTCTGGGGAGAGGGGCCACCAAGAAGTAAGCAGGTCCCCTGGCACTCGTGAGGAAAAGTGCCAGCCTGGGGGACCCTGAGACGGGCTCGGAGCCGGCCTGACCCACAGCCAGCTCTGAGTCCTGAGTGGACCCACGGGCACAGAGGGTGGAGGGCTCAAGCTGCCAGTCACCACGCACCACCGGGGCCACAGTCAAAGCCCAGGCTTCTCGGCGACTCCTACCCGGCTGGCCATGAAGCCAGGGCCAGGACCGGCAAGGAATGGCTGCCAGTCCTGTGGTGCAGAACCTCGCCCCAGAGCCCCTGCTGAACAGCAGCCAGCCCGCCGCCTGCCCAGAGCTGCAGGGGGACAAGGCTGGGCCACCCAGATGGGCCCCAGGGGAGGCGGCGCAGGTGGGGCTGCAGAGTGCTCCCCGGCTCCCCGCAGGCCCCACTCTCTGTGGACTTGTGGCCACACGCAGGTCCAGCCACACCTTGGTCTGTCCCCAGGAGCCTGGGGACAGGGCGTGCTGGCTCCTGGGGGGCAGGGGGCAAGGGCCTTGGCGCCCAGAGGCTGCCCTGCTGCTCCATGGCTGGCCCAGGCTGGACAAGAACCGTCCTCACTGCCCCACCAGGGGCTTGCTGACCTCTGAGGCCACTCACGCAGATCCCAGCCCTAGCCCCTGGAGGGACCTTGAAGGAAGCCGACAGAGGCTACCAGCCACCACTCACCTCCCACACAGACCCCCTGCCACTGGAGAGCAGTGCTTGGCCAAGCCCCTGACCTTAGGCCCTGACCACAGCCCCCCCTCCTCCTGCCACACCAGCATGGCTCCGATGTGCCCAGACTGCAACGGGACACCTGCTGGCAGCACCCAGTCCACGCTCCTGCAGCCCTGGCAGGATGGGACAGATGGGCTGCTGTGGCCAGCTCACCACCCAGGTGTCAACTCGTGGCTGGGACAGCCTGGAAGCTGCCTGGCCCACCCCAGAGGCCGCCTGCCTGTGCAGCCAGCACTGACTCACCGGACAGGAAGGGACCTCTCACCAGCAATCATCCACTGGCTCAAGAAGCATCCCTCTGACGGCGCCCTGAGGGACACCAACCTGGCCCCTTTGGTCCTTTAGATCACCATGTTTCCCACCCTGAGCGTGATGCTGCTATCCGGACAGAATTCCCAAACCTAGCCATCTCTCTCCCCTGCTTAGGAAGTATCCATGGCTTCCCAGGGCCTCCAAGGCAGAGTCCCATCCTCACCTAGTGGCACCCAAGGCCCTCCCAGTGTGGCCTAAGCCGCCTTTCCTGGACCCGCGGCACCTGCTCTCCTCCAAACTCCCGCCATTCCCAGAGCCTCGTCCTGGCTGCCTGCCTTTGGACCACTGTCCCCAGACGCCTTCCCTCCCCCCCAGCCACCTGTCCTCCTCCTCACAGCAGGCGGCTCCTCCTGCTCCTCTGGGAGGGCACCTCGCCCTCCTACCTCCCCACCTCCGTGCCCTGGTAGGTGCCCTGCTCCCTGCCCCCCCCCCATGGCCAGCAGCATCGGGGCAAGGGCTGCTCGAACTGCTTGTGGTGGAGACTGTTTTAAGTTCTCGGATCTGTTGCCCACGGATGCTTTGTGAAACACAATAAAACTGACGGCTGACGTCAAGCAGGAGCTCCTCGACCGACGCTCGCTCCCTCGGCGTCTGCACCTGTCTCGGGGCGCAGCTCGCAGGGGGCCTGGAGCAAGCTCTCTGCTCTCCTGGGCGCTGGAGGCCCCATGCTCCTGGCACCCAGAGGAGCCTGAGTGTGGGCACACGTCCCGGAGACGCTCCACTAACACCTTCACCCCAACACTGGGCAGGAAGGTCCCTACCAGCCTGGAGCACAGCCTGTGCTGGGCGCCCATTCTCAGGCGTGCACACCTAGAGACACAGGGGCACCGGCTGGAGGCACGCGGGCCCACATCCTGCACTTCCTCTGTATGGCCCAGCACCCCAGGGGCAGAAGTCGGGGTGCTGCAACTTCTCCAGTCCACACTCCAGCAGCACGGGTGCCGCGTGGTGCTGCTCACTGTTGGCGGTAAGAGGCAGCAACCTGGCTCGGTCCTCCAGGGCTGTGCAACCTTGGGAAAGTCACTTCACTTCTCTGGGCCTCGATTTCGCCTCTGTAGAAAGGTTACCAGACGCGGTCGGGCAGGGTCATGGCACCTGTGAGCCTCCTTGACGCCGGGGTGTCACCAACGTCTCTTAGAGGCCGGGGAGCCCGTGTGGGGACTCCTCCTGGGCCCCCTTCCTCACGCCTTCTCCCCAAGACCCCACTCTTGTCTTGGGTGGATCTGGGCTGGGCCAGGCGGGCTGGCTTCCTCTGAGGACTTGGCCTCCTCGCGCAGAGTATGGGGCTTCTCCTTCCTCTCCCTGTCCCCTCCCTGGGACACCTTGAGCCTCCGCAAATGCCAGCCCTGATGGCTGCCCTTCCCTCTGCAACCAGCTGGCCTGAGGGGCACCTTGCTTGTGCACGGGAGTACACGCACACGCGCACACACTTACACACACGTGCACATGCGCACACGCTCAACGCCACCTGCTGGGTTGGTCGGAGCAGTGAGGGGCAGCGTAGGTCAGGAGGGCCCACGCCCCCTGCAGCCCTCCCTCTGTACCTTGGGTGGTGACAATGCGGAGTCCAGCCTGCGGGGTCCCAGGTCCTGGCCCCATGAAAGGGTCTCTCCCTGCCGGGGCCAGGGGTCTGGTGGGCTGCTCCTCCGCCCCTGCGTCCTGGCCCCTCCGTCCTGGCCGCTCCCTCCCTGGGCAGCAGGCGGCCGATCCTCCAGGCTCTCACTCCTTCCCTTGGGGAAAGTGAGATGGTGGAGAAGTCACCCTGGGAGAGCTGGCACTGTGGGGGCGGCTCCATATTTACTGCTCAGTGACGTCCACAGCAGCCCAGCTTGATGACCCAGGCAGTCTGCCGCTCTGGCCTCCAACCGCCTGAGTGTGGGACCGCGGCCTCCTGGTGGCCACCCCAGCTCCTCCCTGAGCTCCTTCCAGCCCCACGGCGGGGGCTGCTGCCATCACCCCGCAGGCTGAGCGCCAGCCAGACACCTGTCTGGAGACGGGACAGACACAAAGCCAAAGGCCCTGCAGGTCCCCACGGGGCTCTGCTTGCAGGAGGAGCTGGACTCGGGAGCAGAGGAAGGGACGCTAGACACGGGGCCGGGACTTTGGCTTGTGCACGCTCTGCACATATGGCCCCCAGCAAGTCCCCTCTCTCCAGCCTCAGTTTCCTCAGCTGTGCGATGGGGTCATGGGAGGGGCTGCCTGCCGGACTCCAGGCTCAGGATGCGGGTTCTGGCAGAAGCTGGAGGACTCTCCTGAAGTGCCTTATGGGTCAGCTGGGGCGGGAGGGAGAAGCAGGAAGGAGAGGCCTCAGGAGACTCGGCAGGTCTCGAGGCCCAGGTGTGCCCCAGGCCTCTGCAGCCAGCCCTGCTCAGAGGCCAGCGCTGGGCAACAAGTGGCCGGCAGCCTCCGCCCCCACTGCCACTCCCCTCCCCTGGTACCATCCCCTGGAGGCTCCTGGTCTGTCCAAACGTGCCGCCAAGTTTTGACCTCCCAGCTTCCGGTGTGGAAAGGGCCTTGAAATCCTCTGTGTAAATTAAGACCCAATAAATCACAGGCCATTTTCAAAACACCTAGAAACCTGGTGGGAACTCTGGAACACAGGAAGGTGTCCCCCAGGGCTGCTTTACAAATGTGGCTTTCTTAACGTGACCACAAAGATTAGAATATGGCTGTGGGACCTTGAAGGTCACCTAACCTCTCTGAGCCCGAGATTCCTTTTCCCTAAAATGATGCAGAAGCGATTTGTGGGGCTGTTGTCAAGGACCTGGGGCTGATTCCTGCTCCTTCCGGCTTTTCACACCCCAGAGACAGCAGTGTCTGAAACGGGGTCCTAAAACCCTTCCCAGACTGTGGGCAGGACGGACAGACTGTCTCCATTTACAGAAGAGGAAACTGAGGCCTAAGGAGGTTGAATGGCTGGCCTTGATCTCAGGCCAGTGGAGAGGGAGGAGGTGTGGCCAGGTCACCTTTAAGCAAGGCTGGGGGTCTCTGGGGACCGCCGTGCAGCCCTGAGCTGACACTGTCTTTAGGGGCAGCCACCAGGAGGGCACCTCTCATCCGGGCACCCGGGGCCAAGAGCAGAAGCAGGGTGGAGCCTCAGGCCCACCCCCTCTGCAAGGCACAGCGCTGACCCCTCCAAACCATTCCCTGGCCCCTTCTCAGTCCCACGTCCCCCCAGAGGACCAGCCCAAGGCACTCTGCCAGACCTTACTTGGGGTTCCCCAGCCACTGGGAAACAGAAGCCAGGCACACTCTGGGAAATTTGTGGCCCCCCGACTGAGCCCCACCCCATTCATTCTGTCCGTCAGAGTGGAGAGCCAAGTCCCCTGCACATTGCTCTCTGTTAAAAGGGGCCACTCCCAGATTCTCATTCTCGTATTCTACCCCTACTATTGCATTAGCCTCCTAACTGACCTCCCTGCCTCCAGGCTCACTCCTAGGCTGCTGTGGCAGCTTTCTGGAATGTGAATCTATTTCTACATCTGCTTCCTCCTTATAAAACCCTCTGAGGCTCAAGTGGGTTATTTGGCTGGAGAGTGTGTGTGAAGGGAGACAGAGGGAGAGGAGCCTGGAAAGACTACAGTGGAGTAAAACATGAGCAGCAAGTTCATCCTGGTCCTACCCCAGGGCCTTTGCACTGGTTGCTCCCTCTCCCTGGGACACTCATCAGGTTACCTGCATGACCTTTCTCACGGGCCCTCCCCTTGCTTCCTGCCTCTTCCTCCTCCTCAGTATAGCACATACGTAACGTGCCTGCGTTTTACTTGTTTTGAATTTTCTGTCTCCCTTTGTTGTAATGTAACTGGGCTGTTTGTCAGTTTTGTCACTCTCATGTGAACAGTGCACAGGACCCAGCAGGCGGAGCCCCCAGCACATGTGCAACAGGGTAACGAGCTGGTGGCTCCCTGCACACGACGCCTTCAGGGTGCTCACTTTTCACCTGCGCAGCAGCGTCCACGTGGGGACCACACGGCCTCCTTCTCCACTTAGGCCACCGAGGCTCAGGAGGTGGCACGACTGGACTTGGAATCAGCGGCGTCTCCCTGCACCCCCTGCGTGACCCGGACCTGTCTGGACAAGGGCGCGTGGTGGCCTATCGTGGGGGCCTGTGAGCGAGGACTGGGCTGCAGGGGCCTGACTGGCGACTGCACAGGTGCACGGCCACCTGGGGAAGGCGTGAGGGACAGGATGACACCGGCCCAGCCCCAGGCCCCTCCTGCAGGGCCTCTGCCCGGGGTGCTGCGCCCCTCTCCACCAGGTGCATCTGCAAGAGGGAGGAGGCTCCAAAACTGACAGCAGTTTCCTTTTTCTTTATGGCTTTCTCTCTCTCTCTCTCTCTCTCCCCCTCTCTTTCTTTCTGCACAGCTTGTTTTCCCGTATGGCCCTGGGCCAACCCCGGAAGCCCCTCCCAGGCCCACTCTGAGCACAGGCCCCCCCCCGCCCGGGACTCCTGCAGGGAGGAGGGGTGCACCCTTGGCTTTGGACCAGCTCTGTCCCCAGGGCCCCAGAGCCTCAGAGCCCGGAGCCCCTCTGCTGGAAGCCCAGTGTCCGGTTGACCACAGAGGACTTTCAGCCCCACACCATCCCAAAGGGCCTCTCCCCAGGGGCTCTGGGTGCTCTGCCCCACTGCAGGAGGGCGTCCCTCAGGAGGTCACATCAGAGAGCCAAGGTTCCAGTGCTGACTGTGCTGCTGGCCCTGGGCCCTCACCTCACCTCTTGGAGCCTCCGTTCCCACATCTGCCTCCTCGCACACTGGTGTCCACAGAGGGCGTGTGCTGGGGGGCTCTGGTTTGAACATGTCCCGCCCCCATGGGCCCATTTGTTGAAAGCCTGGTCCTCCATGGGGCAGTGACCTGAAGAGGTAGCGGTCACTGGGGCACTGAGGGCACTGTCCCTGGAAGGAACGGATGTGATTCTCGAGGGACCTGGTTAGTTATTTTGAGAGACAAGAGTTCTAATTGTGACAAGAGCTAGCCTGGCCCTTCACGCTCTGGCTCCCTGTCTTGCTGTGTGGCCTCCTGCTCTCCCACGCCCTTGCCACGTTGCCGTCTGCCATGAGATGATGCAGCCAAGGAAGCCCTCACCATAGGGCCATGCCAGGCTCCAAAACTACGAACTAAATAAACCTCTTTTCTCTACAAAGCACCCAGTCTCTGGTATTTTGTTATTAAATGACTAATATGGTCCGTGACATGCTTAGTACCGGATCTAACCACAAAAGCCCTCGATAAACAGGATCTGCCATCACCATTGTCTTCACCCCGGGTCTCCTGCTCCACAGACCTTCCTCTGAATCCTAGAATCTCCAGATCAGCAGAGACCGTAAGGGCCATTAAATCTCACCCTGTCACCCTCCTGGAACTTCCACACCTGTAAGGAGGGGGAGCTTATCATCGTTACTCTACAAGCCAATGACTTGGTCTGCGTCGTCCGACACCAGCCCGCAGAGGGAAGTGGCTGCCACTCTTCCATCCCAAACCCCAGCACAGGGGGAGTCCCCCGTCCACGGGGGTATTCACAGAGGCGCCGTCAGATCAGAACTCTGCATGGCTCGAGCCAACTGTCACAGAGCTAGGACCTGATGAGGAACAGGACTGCAACCAAACAGCCTCACCAAGAAAGGGAAGATTCCCCAGAGACGGGTGTTCAAAGGAGAGGGGGCGAGCCCGGCAGAGGAGGAACTGGGGGCCAGCCATCAGAGGCTTCCCTGAAGTGAGTGGAGAGGGAAGGGGAGGCCTCATCAGGACAGTGGTGGAATGTGACAGGACAGAGGGGACAGCAAGGAATGTAGGCTGAGCATGGCAAAGGGGAGGTCGCAAGGCAGTGTCCCCACAGGGACTGGAGGGCACAGCAAGGACTCTGTCTTCCTCCTCGTGGCAGCCACAGTCCTTAAAGGTCTTTGGGCAGGAATCGATAGGCTCAGTTTTGTACATTAAAAAGGCCCCACGGCTGCTTCCCAGTCACTGTCCTTCCTTCTATTCATGAACAGCACGGGCACTACCTGTCACTCGGCCTAGACTGCTAGCTAGTCCCCGTAGAAGTCAGGAGAGGACAGGTTGTGCCACAATAACAAAAACCCCCAGATCTCAGCGGTTCAAAACAACAAAGGTCTATTGCCACTCACACTGTGGGGCCACCGTGGGCCATCAGGACTCACTCAGGGACAAGGCAAGGACACAGCCTGGCAGAAGCAGACACATCCCGCCCACTACCAGTTGCCATGCCCAGGGAAAGAGCACCCCAGAGGTTCTCACGCCAGCAGTACATGCTTTAGCCCAAGTCCCAGTATCACTGTAGCTCATGGCCCCTCGAGCCAGCCGTCTGCCATGAGATGATGCCACTTGGTCCTGCGAGCTAGGGGAACCTTGCTCCACCCCTGCTATGAATCTGGAAAATCTGGAAATATCTAGAGGAAAGCATGAAGGGCCTCCAGACACCCCTCTCCGGCCCCAGTTCGCCCTTCCCTGGTCCCCAATCATTCACAGGTGGCAGCTGAGCCAGGATTCCAAGAGGTGGGGCCAGTGGGGGCAGGAGCAATCTTGGTAGGATCAGAGGGGTCCAGGAAGGGTAGGAGATGAGGCGGGGAAAGGTGGGGGCCATTCAGCTCAGAGGCTTTTAAGTCACGGTGACAGGTACTGGGAAAGCTTCAGCTGTTTTAAGCAGAAACTGGGAGGCCCCTCGGATCCTACTTGGAACACGCTGCTGGCTGCAGGGGCCGGCCGGAGGGGGAGGGTGCAGGTGGCCTCAGCAGGCTCTTGCTGTTGTCCTGCGGAGAGACAGCTGTGGCTCTGGAGGGGGAACTGGCGAGAGGTGGATGATTCGCTTGAGAGGACAAAGTTCTCTGGTCTTGCAGATGGCATGGACTGGGGTGAGGGAGAGACCTGTGGTCTCTGCTGGAAGGACCAGGAGGGTGACCTGGCCTGGGTCAAGACCAGCACCCTGGGGGAGGTCAGGAAGGAAGATTAAAGACAGCTCGGAAACTGACGTGTTTGTCACCACCCTGAAACAGCTTAGAGGGCAGGCCAGGTAGGTGGCTAAGGGAACAGGTGACCCCTGGGCTGGGCTATCGCCCAGTTGGTAGAGGGCTGGCCTTGCATGCACAAGGCCCTGGGTTCGATCCCCAGCACCACAAAAAGAAAAGAAAGAAACAGGTGACTCCTGACCTCTTGCCCAGTGCCCCAACCAATGACCCAGAACCAGGGAAGTGCAAGAGAAGAAAGTTCTAGAGGATAGAATCTTACTGGACACCAAGGAGAGCAAATTTCAAAAACTTCTCAAACTGAGGGGTCCAGTAACTCAGGTCCAAATCACACGTAAGCAGAGGTGACAGCTGTGGTGGCTGATCAGGGCTCGGGGGACAAGTGATAAAAGACCCTCATCTTTGAGAATGTTACCAGAGAAGGGAACCAGCCGCTGCTACCAGCTGCTCCTTGAGGGTCCTGTCAATGAGGAACTGGATGGAGCAGGGTGGGGCAGTTCCGATATTCCCAGGGCAGCACACTCTGCGATGCCCAGGCTCAGAGAGCGACTCTTGTTCACCATGAACCATCGCCTGGGCTACCTCAGGTACTTGATCTCTGCTATCTCATTTCATCTCCCCACTGCCTTGCTAGGTCAATTTTTGGTGGCCCCACTTTAGGGAAAGAGAAAGAGGTTCAGAGAGGTCAAAAGGAACATAACAAAGCCCTAAGTCACACAGCTGTTGAGAAAGGGCTCTGATGGAGAAACCCTTTCCACCAAGCTAAATAAAGCAAGGGGCCTGGGCTGTGTTCCCAGAAGGGAAACTTTGTAGACACAGCCCACCTTTTGGAGACCATGCCCCACTCCCAAGGGAAGGAGGCCACAGCTCCTTACTTTGGGCCCACAGACCCCACACCCCCAACCACCACCCCAGGAAAGTCCCCAGCTTCCTTCCTCTGGAGGAGACATGTGGGCAAAGGCCACAGGCATCATGCTCCAGCTCAAAAGAATGGAAAATTCTTTTGCTGCGGCACAGACAAACCCCCAAAGTTTACAGGCATTAAGAGCACTCTGGCCTCGCTGCCTCCTGTCCCCCCACACACAAACGACTGGGCGTGTTTCCTTGCCGCCACCCTAAATTATGTACCGCGGCTTTTCTCCCCACGAAGGAACCGGCCAAGAAGAGAGGCTGGACATTTTCCTCCCAAGTCCCAGCCCATCCTGGGCGTCTGACCCCGCTCTCCCACCCGGGTCCAGACTCCAGCAACTTTCCGCCAGCCTGGCCCATCCATCGCCCACGACCACTCGGGTCTCCCTGCAGCCACCCGCCTAGGGCACGCTGGCCTTGACGGAGGAAGGTCATTGGCCACCAAGTTTCTGCAGTTTCTGCAGCTCAGAGTGCCTCGGGGACTGCGAGCGGGGGGTGGAGGCTGCCGAGGAGTCCCCACCGCAACTCTGCTTCACAATGCCCTCCACCAACGCCCTGCGGCGCGGCCACGCGGCGCGGGAACCCGAGCGCCGCGCTGCGGGACACCCCCTCCCCGGGCCCGGCACCTGGCGGCCGAGCCGCCCCCGAGAACTAGGCCAGCGGCCGCGGCGAGCCCCCGGGCGCCCCGCCCCCCGTGTCACCGCGTTCTCATTCCGAACGCTCGCGCGGGCGGCCGCTCCCATTGGTCGGCGGCCACGTCCGTCAGCGGCGGAACGAACGCGGAGAGAAAAGGCTACATTGTAACAAGGCGAGCGCGCCGCGAGCCGGGGAGGGCGGCCAGGGCGGCCCGCGTCCCGCGGCGGCGGCGGCGGCTACCTGCCGAGGGTTAACCCACCTCGGGGCCGAGCGGCCGCCCTCCGCCCCCCGCCCGCCCGCGCCCCGCCGCCGCCCGCCCGCCGCCCCGGCCCGGCGCCCGCGCTCGCTGGCGAACTGCCGAGCGCTCTCCGAAGCCATTTTCAATGGCCACAGTGGCTACCGGGCTGACTCACCTTCCCGGGAACGCTGCGGCGGCCGCGGGGCCGGGCGGGCGGGCGGCCCGGAGGGCGGCTCGGCGGAGGCGGCGCGGCCCGGGCTGGCGGCCCCGCGGCGGGAGCGGCCGCGCTGCGGGCGCGCGGGTCCCCGCGAGGCAAAGTTTCAGCGCCAGCCTCGGCGCGGCGGCGGCGGCGACTCGCTGCTGCTCTCCTCCCCTGCTTTGACCACCATCTTATTAGTACAGGAAATGACATGGAAAACGGAAGAAAGCGGCGTTTGGGGCAGACGCGGACCCCCCAATTCAGGGGCCGGAGCCGGGACTCGGCCGCCGCGTCCCAGCCCGGCCCCGGCGAGGACTCCCGGGGCCCCTCGGCCCCCGCCCCGCGCCCGG